CTTTCCCTAGGTATTCTGTCACGCTTCATGCACAACTGTAAAAATAGGGTGTCTGTTGAAATGAGCTAAGCTGTTTCAACTTCTTGTATCTCTGTTCAGTGGTTTCTAGATTGTATAGTAGCTCAGTATTGCCTAGTTCTTACCTCTTGGTTCCCTACTTTCAAATGAGATATTGAAAGCACTATCAGCACTATGCTATGTTTTTCTTGTTTGTTTCTTGACCTTTGTATAGTTGTCATAGCTTGGCCGATACTGGCTTTTTTCTTTGAGTTTTTTTGAGATTCTGTAGTACTCATGGTGCAGATGAATACAGCATTATGAATTTGTATGTGATATTAATCATGAGGTCTCATTACTTAGAGCTCAAGATTGTTGCCGTGTTGGCACTGAGTAGTTACTGGAGACAGTAGGTAGAAACATATATTGAGAAAAATGAATGCAGAAAATGTAATGTGTGTAATGGGTGGGCGAAGGCATAAAATCACATCAGCCTGTGTGTGTTTATATGTATTAAACAATTTAACGTGAAGGATAGGAATGATTTGTGACAAATACAGATTGAACCAATGTAAGCCTGATCATGTACTAAAACTGCAATGTTCAGTTCTCAGTGAACACTGGCTACATCATTTCAGAACTGCAGGCTTTGCAATTAGTTCTATTTGCCAAAAGGTGACAAATCATTAGACTTAATCCATTTACTTGATTTCCTTGTCTTTGTAGGAAATTATTATCCCTATCCCATGTTATATTCAGAGCCACACCTCAAAATCCTTTTGTAAATGTTACTAGCCAGAGCGGAAAAGAATTCTGCTGTAATAAAAGTGCTTTTGTGGATTTATGCAGTAGTCATGATTAATCTCTCTCAATTGGAAATATGTTAGTTGTAGACCATAGATTACTTGCCTAGTCAATATGAAGGGGTCTTTCTTAGTGTACAATGAAAGAATAGTGGAATATATCTTAAATGCCAGAATCATCTTACTCTTTTTACTTTCTAGAAAGCAATTTTCTGTACTCAGCCTTTGCAATAATCCCTTGAACTGACTGGGGGTTAGACAGACTGACAGCTCTTCTGTCATCAAACTGAGTAGATTGAAACTATGGGGATATTGCTGTGACTTCTTTTAAAGATGTTTCAAAGAAGTTGTCACAGCATTACTGTTGGTTCTACTTCTCATATGGATGAGAAGCATGAGAAGTTCTTGCACAACTTTGAATAGAGCATTAGTAGAGTGTATTTTTAGTTAAAACATCACCAAAAAAAAGGGGTGGTTACTGCAGTTTTTTCTAGATACATAGACTACTGAGAAACTAAATCCAAGTCATTTTGAGAGGTAAAATTCTCTAAAAACATTATTTGAATGTAGTGTATTCTACAAAAGCTTAATTCCTCTAAGGCAATCAAGTGTAGTTGATTTGACCCTTTTGGGCAGCCTTTGAATTGAATCGTAGTGGTAGTCAGTTTGTTCTGTACACACTCTCAAAATATCTTCATCTTTCCAGTGTATAGGATGCTGTGTGCAAGTCTGGATGCACCTTCATATGTCATTATTCTCCTGAGTTAGTTTTCAGAGTTGAGACCACCTTTAGAAGAGCAATTGTGCTCTTGATTGTGTGCAGTCTGTTCTTAGAGTTTGTATTCCCCTGTGATGGTTGCCAGAAGAGTGATAGGCTTAATGGTACAGAATAACTGTGACTTGTGACTATTTGTAAGCCAGGAAACCTTTAACATGTTAATTTTCAGTCTGTATTGATTTGTGGATATCAAAGCGTTTTCCTGTGAGAATCTTTCTGAGCTGCTTCAGAAACTTCATAAATAGGTTCTGCCTACTAGTACATTTCAACAAGAGGCCATCCCATCGTAAAAATTGCCAGACTTTTAAAACGTAGACTTTTGAAGTGGGTGTCTCTTTTGCTAGTCAGGTTTTCTCTACCAGGTACTCACTAATTCTCTGATCATAAGGTAGGTATTGGCTGGAAGAATGAAGATGCCAATTTTCTGAGTAACAAATTCTGATTCTCTTTTTCAAATGTTAAGACCTGGCATTACTGTTGTGGAATAATAATGCCTTTGCCACTTTATCCCAATCTGTATTGTGGACTATGAGTGTTGGCTGGGGGACTTGTGCTGAAATGACTCTGAGTATGCTTCCAAAATTAAAGTAGGTTGGAGAAAAAGGAACATGCTGTGTTACTCAGCATATCAGTGGTAATCCTAATCATGGGCTTACTTAAATCCTGTAAACATTTCAATATATGCTAATGTATTTAAATAAGTATAATCATTTAAGTCAGATGTGGTTAAATAGGGCAACAAACTTTCAAAATGTAATTTTGCAGGTTGGAGAGGGTGCTTTCATTTTGTGTGTCATGCAAGGACATAGTTATAGGTTGTTTAAGCAGTAGGCAAGTACTGGATGTGCTGGAAAAGGGACACTCAGTTTTCTTTAAGTTTTTAAATCCGTGTTTTCAGTTAAAACTCAGTTTGGAGGTGGGAAGGAAGAAAATTCATTGAGGCTTTTTATCAAGGACTTAGTCTGAAATAAAATGTGATGTGGTTACTGTTACTGGATGACTTCTGAGAGCAAGAAAATGTCTCTTAGGGTGAGAAAGCCACTGTAAGCAGTTCTGGTGTGCTGGACCAGGTTAAATTCTGTTATTCAGAATATAATCAATTTTAATACAGATTATGCAGTGAAAAGTATATAATAAAAGAAGCAGTTACTCTCTGTTTGAAGTATACTACTGGAAATCTGAGAGTTCTGGAAACTTTCTCGCTTACACTCCTAGAATGAGCATGATCTGTTTGCCCATTGTAAAATGACACTGTGTGGTTTCGTGAGTGTTACAATGCTTGAATGCTATCTTCAGGGCTTTTTTATTTCAAATGGAGAGACAACAAAGAAACCCGAAGTTTAACATGCTAGCTCTGATGTTGTATTTAAATAGAATGAGTCAGGTAGCTGGGATTTTTGACTTGTCTGCAGGGTCTGTAGAATGTCTTAACTCCCAGAAGTCATAAGTAACTGCTTGGATGTTTTTTTTAAAAAGCATGAATTTTTATCATCTTACTCTAAGTTTTTTCTAAACATGTTATCAGTTTATGGGAGCATTGTCTAATCTCTGGGTAACCTAATGATTTAAGAATACAGAAAAAGAAAATTCTTAATTTGCATTCTGCTATTTGGTTCTGACTTGTGAAACGTTAACTTCTGCAAAAGCCTTTTAGTGTGTGTTAAAAATAAATATGTGTAATAGACACATGATTTCAATTTTTTGATATTTAATTATCAAATAATCTTTTTATTTAATTTGAAGGCTTTTTAAATGCTTTGCATCCTATTAATACTAAACTAAGTAAATAGACAAGCAAATACTGCTTTGCAATTTCATTATGCTTATGGCTACTATTGTGGCAATTGAGGTAAAGCTATTTTCTTCCTGTAGTTTTAGTTTATAGGATGAAATTATGTAATGATTCATTTAGTCTTTTGGATTACTTGTGGAACTATAGATAGAAAACTTCTGCATTGGTTCAAGGTAACCCTCAAGCTGTGATGTCGAATTGTTTGCATTTACTGCTGCAGAGCTTAGAGCTAAAAGGAGGTACAAAATTGCATTTAGAACCTGTTCCTCAGCATCTGGTTCATTATGCTGAAATTGAAGATGACTGCTTCATTTCTTCTTCTTTTGGTTGTAGCAAATACAATTTCTGTAACTGAGAAAGTCAAAATGGTAAGTAGAATTGGCTGAAAGAGGGAAGGTAAATTAAAAACCAAAGGGCATGCATGCGGAAGGTTCTTAACGAATGGGAGCTCTTACCCAACAAATGCAGTATTTGAACTAAATGGATGTGGCAGATAAGAATGTGATCCTGTTCAGGAGTGTGATCTGTAAATGTGTATCAAGGTCATGGTGTTCCTTTCCCCGCCCTTGACTCTGACACATAAGGGGCAGTAATAAACTATATTAAAAGATAACCTTGGTTGACAGCTGCTGTAAACTCCTATTGACTTGGTAACATTTGTATTTCATGGGTATATGACGTTTAGTGGACCTTTTTGCCGTTTGTATTTCAGTGATAGACGTTTGCTACAACCTGCTCAGGTATGTGACATTCTCAAAGGAGTTATATTGGTCATCTGCTACTTCATGATGCACTATGTTGACTACTCTATGATGTATCATCTGATAAGAGGGCAGTCTGTCATAAAGCTCTACATCATCTATAACATGCTTGAGGTAAGAACGTTGGCATCAGAATATCAAGCATGCTTTTTTCAGACTATGTAAAATGTTGTATTACAGTATTTGTGCTTAGAATATGGCGGATCTCGTACTCTCACAAATGTGCACACACCCATGATAATAAGCCTAGCTGCAGAGAAACAGACAAGTTCATGAAAAATAAGTTTTGTAGAAACTGTTTCATATTGCCTACTTCCTGGAGCTTATTATTCAGTGTAGTTGAATGAAAATTGAGAACTGGAAATGGAAGAAGAAATATTTTAAACTGAAATGCAAGAAGTGGAATGAATGAGGTTTTGAACTCATTGAGAAAAGTAGAAACTATTCATTTCAAACAGTGGTAAGATCTTGAGAGAGAGCAGAGAAGGAAGATGGTAGAAGACATGGAATTTGGTTTTTAATTCTTTATTATGGAAGTGTAGCTTTCATTGTATGCAAGGACACATGTTACTGCTTAATCTTTCTCAGTCCTGGCTAGCAGACAAAAGCCTAAGTACATAAACAGTAAGTTGGATAAATATAGTGAAACAAGCAAAGGAAATTCTGTTTTGGGATGTAAGATAAAGAGAAATTCGGGGGGGGGGGGCGGGGCGGAATTGTTTCTATTTTGTTGTTAATGTAAAGCATGAGATCTTTAATTGCGGTTCTATGATCGGTGATTCACAGAGTAAATAACCTTTTCATAGCTACAATCATATCTCCATCCTGCAAATACAGGACATATTAGCAATACAACCTCTTAAAACGACTCAATCAGAGCTTTGTAAACAAGAGTTTCTCTACTAGGATTCTGGGATCTCTGAATAACATACTAATCCTTGTTTGAACACCTGTTGTACCTTTGTTTGAAGACTGCTAAAACGAGGCTACACTTCGTGCAAAATCCGAATATTTTGTCTAAAGACCTTTGTTCTTTCCTCATAAAAATATGAAAATACTGCATAAGGAGCATACTTCATTATCCTTAGTGAAATAAATATCATATGAGCCACCTCAATTGTTTAATCATAGGGTTTTGTTTCCTTTGATTTTAGATTTGCTGAAAAACATGTACAAGTACCAAATTGACACTGAGTTATTACATGGATTTTAGTTGTGTTGGGAAATATTCATCCATATATAGTTCCATAATCTGTGAGAGATTATCACTTACTAAATAAATCCATGTGCTCAAAATATAATAATTTCTCATTATTTCAAGACTACTTCAAGTCACTTCTCTTAAAGCTGAGAAAGTACAGTACTATGTGCTTACCACGTAATTTGAAGAGAGACTGCAGTGTTTGCTGTGCATTGGAATCCATGTGCCATTCCATTTTGAATGTAGAGGAGAGGAGTTGAGTTTCTTTGCTATGTTTGGCAGAACCAAAAGTGTGTGTCTCAATTAGATGCTGCCTGAGTTTTGTGGTTTGGTGGTGTGTGTGTGTGGTGTTGCTTTTTTGTGTTTTGTTTTGTTTTTGTTTTTTTTTTTAGGAAAGGGCGGAGTCTGTTACCACTCATAGGTATTAGAAAAATTACATTAGATTTTGAAATTGGAAATGGTATTTAATTTCCATGGTGTCTCATGAAACCCAACATGTCAAGCAGAGGGCCTGTTTTTTAAGGGGCTTTTTTACTGTGGTAGGTTGCAGCCACAGTATTGGCAAAAATGTCGTCAATGCCACTGAAAGACTTGGTTGATGGTTGGCTTTCAACAGTTTGAATATTGGCTTGCTTAGACTACTTTGGTGAATTTTGTTGTAAGTCTTTGCTGCTAATACAAGCAATGCTTTTTAAGGAACTGTTAAATATGCTTTTTTTTGAGTAATAAACTTTTCATGTTCACAAGTTTTCAAAATAGGAAGATCTTTTTAATTTAGTTAAATCACTGAGCAACGGAGATGTTTACAATGTCCTAATGTTTTCGGCTGTTCACAAGGGCAGGAAATACTGTCCTGGACAGATATGAGGAATGCAAAATCTTCAAATTATGTGCTGAATGCTCCAGATAGACAGCCTAAGGGGAGCATTCAGCACATTTGGCTTAAATGACACTTTTCTTTTTTAGATTCAGACCCACCGGCTCCTGCTCCTTGTGAAGCCCCAGTGTGCGTTATGCTGGTGACAGCACTCACCATGGATTTCTGCTGGAGCCTGGAGCCGGCATGTAGGGTTTAGGTAAGTCATTTTTGGAAAAGCAAGCAACAATATTGTGTGGTGGGTTTTAATATTTTCTATCCTGTCAGCTAAGAAACAAGGATGGCTTAAATAAAAAGGAAAGCAAAACCAGCATTTTATCTATTAAAACCCTCACAATATTGTGAACAAAAACTTACCAAACTCTAAGCATTCTGTAGTTGGCATTACTACATCAGGTATAATTACTCAATGGGTCATCACAATGAGCAGGAACCAAATAATGCAGAGCACCTTAATTTACAAAATTTAAAAGCCGAAAACAGTACCACTGTAAATATCTCTTAAACTGATGGGGTTTTGAACTTCAGAATTATGATAATTCATCAGCTCATGGTTTTGTTCAGTTGATTTCATAGGTGATGCTTAAAAAGTAGTAGTACAGTTTAAGAGTACGGTTGAGACGTCCAGTAAAAATTTGTTTTAATTCAGTGTTCGTATTTTAGGAAACTTCAATAAATGTTGGCTTGAATAGCTTTAAGTATATCACTTCCCTCCCTTCAGTACCTTTACCTTTAGAACTCTTAATTAAAGTCAGGAAATGATCCCAGATCTTAGGTTTATTTATTTTATCCCAAGAACTTATTTTCTAGTTAATAGGTATGGTTCAGTATTTGCAGGTACATCATGTACCTAGTTCTATATTGCTACATGTTGTTTTAACATATCCAAAATTGTTGTCTTACAGAAAGACAGTAAGAGGAAATACCAGTTGTCTTTATTAAGTAGAGATAATCAGTTTTTCATATTTAACTATTTCCATTTGGTTGAGTTACCAAGCAATGAAAGATACCTCTTTTTTTTGTTTTCAGCCACACATGTGCCTTGTGATACCAAATTTAATTTGTGAAGTGCTATTTCTGTTGTCCTGTGAATCTTAAAATTACTGAACTGTAGTGTATAGGAAGGAAAAAAAGTCTTTCCTTGTAATCTTCAGTTTTACATGCTTGCTGATGATGAAGTGTTGAGAACTGGTAGAGCTCCATGTGAACTTTCTCACTGTGGTATTGAATTACAAGCTCAAGTTGCTGTCCATGTTTTTCATATCTTTAGAATTACTGCTACGTTGTTTTCCTATTTGTGCATGTATTCTTTGGGTTACACTTCAGATTCTAGTAGTTTTTTCAAACTAATTTTCCGTTCTCAGCAGAATTTCTTGTCCCTCTTGATCACTTGCTTTTGTGTTATAGTGCTTTTAATTTTGAATTCTGCTTTATGCAGAGATTTGTATTGAGTATATACTTTGTTCCAAGATGTAAGGAAACAGTACAGCCAAATCTAATTTCAGTCCTTTTTGTACCTGTAAGCTGATATTGTTCTCTAGCACACATTTGAAATTCACTTTTCAGTATTTTTTTCCTTATTAAACTCAGAGGGATGGGGAAAAAACATTTAGGATAGTTTGGTGCAACATACGTATTGCTTTGTCAAAGACTGAAGTTTGAACTGTACTTGTATGTCTTCCAAGGAAGCATCTAAGATAACACTCCATGGCTATACATTGTAAATATTGTTGAAAAGGGGGTAGTAAATTTGAGAAGGAAAGTAAACTGCTGAGTATACAAAAGGAACAATAGCACTATGAAATCCAGAGTGGAAATGGAATGAACAGGAGATGGGAAGTGATAAATATGTGACACCTTTTTTTAGTTTGAGCTAAAATACAGTGGTGTATTCAAGTGTCGGAGAGAAAAATACTGCTTTAAGGCAATAAAAAGTTGTTCTTGTTTAGGTGGCTGATCGTCTGTTTTCTTCATTTGGACAAGATATTTTGGATGCGCTTTATTGGACAGCTACAGAACCTAAGGAAAGAAAAAGAGCTCACATAGGTGTGATTCCTCACTTCTTCATGGCAGTGCTGTATGTCTGTATCCTTTTTCTTCAATAAATTGCAAAATTTTCTATTTTAAATTACACGGTAATTGCTCTGTATCATTTTATTTAAATACATTTGAAAAATTGATAGTATTTCTAAATCAGTGTACCTTTACCTTCAAAGTAAGATTGTCAGTACTACAGGTTTTTAAAATGAATGAAAAAAACCTGTTTAACCTGCTTTAAAAAAAAAAAAACTTTCATAATGGTATACCACTGCAGTAGTAGACAGCTTTTTTAATACCTAATGTGTAGTAATTTGAAAAACAGTAATTGGATAGTTCATGGAAACTTTGATTTCTGATTTCTATTTGAGTATTTTGGGTCACAGGGTCTTGAAGACAGAGGGATTTTGTTATTTAGTGGAGTGTTACAAATGCTTAGCTTGGAAACATTTTCTTGAATTGAATGGATAAACTCATGCATATTCAGGATGAAAATGAGTTTAGTATGAAGTAACTTTACAGTGAACTGATGAAAATGCTTGTAAAGAGATAGGTAGTCCAATAGATGTGTTGATGAATTTAGAATTCTTGTACTTTCCCCTGTTTTCTCTGAAATCTTCAGGCTAATTCTGAATCTTTATCTCAGGTTTTTTTTTTCCTTCAGGTTGTATTGCTGTTTCTCCTGAGTAATGTCATTCAGCTCTTTTAGAACAAGGAAAAATGAAACTAATTATTACATGCTACAAAGCACTGTGGGTACATTACATAGGTTTAAGTACAGTCTTGCTGTAAATCTAGTTGACAGGGAGATAGAAATTTTTGTTAAACTTTGGAAACAAAATAGGAGATTTGAGTTTTCGTGCTGTTCAGTACTGTGGTGCAGAAAAATTGTTTCCAAATATGCTTCCTTAACCCTGCTATCTAGTCCTGCATGCTATTCTTATAATGGTTCAAGCAACAACCCTTAATGTGGCCTTCAACTCACACAATAAATCACTGCTTACCATCATGATGTCCAATAATGTAAGTATGTAGCTTTATTATATAGCTACCCTAATTTTTTTCAGCATCCTTCATCTTTGTGTATCGTATTTTTATTTGCTTATTATTTGTCTGATTTGTTTGTATCAAGTTTTTATCAATAAAAGCTAACTAACTGTTTTTAAAAATTGCAGTTTGTTGAAATAAAAGGAAGTGTTTTCAAGAAGTTTGAGAAGAACAATCTTTTTCAAATGTCAAATAGCGGTATGTATATCTGTGCTAATCAGGAGAAAATGTGAAGTGAGATGCTGATTTTTTTAATTTATTCATTTATTTAATATTATTGTTAAAACAACTTTACCGTGGTGAATTTGAGCGTTCTGACTTGAATTCCTCATCTCCCCTGTTACTGTTTAGTTCAGAAGGACAAAACTGGGTTTTCCCTGCCAGGAACATTTGTTCTTCCTTAAATGGCTAGTTTTTATTTGAGGTGCTAGAACAACCTGTTGGCTGTGTGCTAAAGTTGTTATTAAATACAAATTTCAGATTTAAGTTAGGGTATTCAAAATATCCATGCTTCAAAGTGTCTGCAGTCTCTCATGTTTTCAAAAGGTTGACTTTGTAGTGTGCTGTGTTGACTATGATCTCAGAATGCATGTTGTTTGCCAGTTGTGAGGATGGATCTTGAAATACTTGCCCCAGCCAAAGAATGTAACGATGGAGTAGCTGGCTTATGAAGGAAATACCAGAGATGACTGTAACTTTTGACATGCAATCAAGATAATAGTAAAGGGTACTTAGGAAACACAGTAAGCTTCTGGCACTTCTTAACTGTGTTGCTGCTTAGTATGAAATTTGGAAACTCTCAGTCAGTGTGTTTCATGAGGAGAAGGTGTTACAGGTATTTGATGGAGGTTCTTTCTAATACTGATACCAGCTATCTGAAATACCTGTTGAATTCTTGGTTTCAAAACTAATAGAAGAGATTGCACTTCAAGGTTGTATTGGAGCTTCTTTGCTTGTAATGTTTTCTGAATTTTGAACACATTTGTTTCTGTTGTGCATATGACTTTTTGGTCAAAGCTATTTATACAGATAAGCAAACAAAATAGGATATGTTTTTTTTTCATTCTAGCTCCTAGTTTTTTAAACCAGAGAACTCAAATGTTCAAGAGGTTAAGAAAAATAATGTAGCTGCTTATTTAAAAACAGATAAATGAGAACTTTTTTTTTTAATCAAGAGTTAGACTTTCAACAGGCTTACTTCAGGTTTGGAATTTGGCTATTGATGTGATTTTTGTCTAATTCATCTGCAAACTGCAATGATACTACATGCAAATGTTAAATGGCAATTGTTTTGCGATGCTTTGGATGAAAGACTATTTACATAAAATCTTAAATCACATAACAGAAAAATTAGCACTAAATTTTAATCTACCTCATAGAAATCCTTAAAAAAAAAAAATCTTTCCAGGTGGGTTGATAAGGTATTTTTCTGTGCTGATAGGATGTATTTTTGGTTCCAAGATTTAAATACTTACATTTTTAAAACTAAATTTATTTAACTTCACAGTGAGAACATCTGAAAGTGATGTTTACTAAAATATTGACAGAAAACATAGATGAGTTTTCTTAAATTTTCTCTCATTAATCTCAATACTTGCAGAAAATAGTTACAAGTATGCACCTAGCTCTCCCGCTGAAAGGCGAGGCCTCTTTCTTGACTTAAATGTTGAAATAAATGAGGGACTGCTATTAGAAATGGCTAGTAATTTCCTCCATAAAAAGCACCTGCAATAATGTGCTACAAGAAATGTGTATCAATATTTTCTTACTAGACATTATTATTGAAGACCCATAATAGTAATAACAGGTCTTCCTTTATCATTTGGTGGAAAAAGTGATGCCATTCATTATGCCATATGAGGATGGAAGCAAGTGAGCAAGTACATAGAAGAGTGCACAAAACAAGCTAAATTATTCCCTTCAAACAGTGAACTTTTCCTGAAACACTTCTCAGTATCGTTATAAATAGCAGTGTTTTTCTTCTTATAGATAAGTAACGTAGACAGGTTTTTAGGAGAGATTTTCACCTCTTTTGAACTTGAACAGATTTACTGCATCACAGCTTCAGTAAGGGTGGATCGTTATTGCTTCAGTTCACATATTCTGTAACTTTGTTACCCTTTAAAGGTTTTGTTTCCTGCAGCTGAAATGGTAGTGCATTTTGCGTTGACATGCTACGCCAATGCTATATCCTGACCCTGGAACTGAGGCTAGTCTGGTTCTGTGGACTGAGCTTCCAGATAGCCTTTGGAGTGTCTTGTGCGTCCCAGAACATGATATGCTTAAACTGCATGCCTGAACTGAACTAAACTGCTAAAATAAAGCACTAAATATAGGTTCCCCCATATATTTCCCACCTTTCTCAATTTCTTCCAGCTGTTTTCTCAGCTCTGCTGTCTCTACTGTAGGGCAGTAATGGCAAGAGTAGCTGATTAAGCTTAGATAGACTGAATGGATGCCCCTTGCCCCACCTTTTCTGGGGCTCTGCTCAAAATATTAGCATTGTCCCAAACGTGGTTTAAATTCAGTGAAAAGGTACTGATTAGTACACAGAAGCTAAATATACTAATTTCTGGGGGTGGTGGTGGGAAATAAAGTCAATCTCATAGAGGCATCTGAGGAGCGTGTCATGAATAGGTGAAACTCCCTTCTTATTTAGCATGTTAATCAAAAGAAAAATATGAACTAGCAGAAAAGTAAGATATCAATGACCTCAAGAGTAGACATTATGATAAGAGAAGTTGCTACAAATAGAATTCAAAAGAAAATAATCTTGCGAATGGAAGTGTGAAAACAGAAATGAACTGTTTCGGTTGTACTTTCTAAGATGTGCTATATCATACATTGAAATACCTTGCAGAGCTCTGCATGGTATTGAAGGCACTGTGTAGTAAGACACCAGCATATGAAGTGCCACCAAGCTACCAGTTTAGATCTGGAAGTTGTGAAATTGTTTTCACTTGGCATTGTGCTCAGCACTGGCTTGTGGATAGCAAACTGATGTGTGGCTGTACTATTTTTCCTAGTATTTCCAGTTCTGGACTTAGTGTCAGTGGAGTCAGTGGTCCTGCTCACCTTTGTATGGCCGTTTAAAATTTTGCTGTAACAACTAATTAATTAAACCTTCAGGACTAAAAGAGGTTGGAATCGTCTACATAAAGAACAATTTAACAAAGCATGAGATATACATTGGTTACACAGTTATCTAATCTGATTTGTCTGTTGCAGGAAAACTGCTTTCGCGTTGTCACCCTGACTTTTACTAAGAAATTTATGTACACCTAGGCAATCTAAACACTGGAAAATACTTCTCTACAGAAGACATAAAACCTTATATTTGTTGTAGCAGGAGGAAATATTCCCCTAAATTTAAATAGTATATTCTCTTTTTGAAATAGATATCTGTAAGCTAGTTTTGTAGGGTTCAGGATTAGTGAAGGAGGAGACCAAAATTATAAAGAGAAGCTCTTTGGTCATTGTTGAAAGCTCAGTGTGCTGCCTTCCTTTATGCTTTTAAATATCTTATTTCAAGCTGTGCTCTAAACTAAATTTTTCACAAAACACAATTGTGCCTCATATGAAGAAGCATCTTAGGTGCAGTGCATTAGGTTATTTGCTTCACTTGGCTGTTTGGTCAGATTATTCCTTGTTTTTTTTAAATCTCTCAAAAATGTACATATTTATTCTGAAGCTTTAGGAACTGCAGGAGTTTTTCTTTATAATTTCTTACTTTTTTTTTTTCCCCTTAATTCTCTTCTTTCTGCTTTGTTCCCAATTTATCAGTCTCTTTGGCTTTGATCAAAATATTGAACAGCTTTTACTTTTACGTTTTGGTCTCTGGAATTCAAACTGCTTTCTCATGTGGCTTTAGTTTTTTTAATACCGTTATTCTAATCTAGTTGTTCATTTTAAGGATGAGGGATTTAGGGGCAGGAGTACATTTAAGATAGATCGATGCTTCCTTGGTGATTCCTTGTTCAGTCTTTGATCCTTTCTTGTGCTCTGGTCACTTGTTAAGAGGTAGTTGTCACTAGAGCTGCGTAGGACTTCCTGAGATGTAAACAAAAGATCTCGTTTCACTTCTTGCACGCTATGATTGATGAACAGCTTTTGATCTAAACATATGAACAGTGGGATTAACATGATTGAAATTATTTTTTCCTTCCTGATTAAGGAGTCCTGCATGATACGTCAGGGAATCTGGAAGGAAATAACTAGGTGTTCTAAGGACTATTTTCTATCCAGGTGTGTAGAAGTGCCTCTTCTGGATCCCTGTTCCTGGGAACTCACTACCCTCCTTGTTAGTTACCACTGCAAAGTACCTAAGTTCTTCAGAGTTCAAGTCCTTCCTGAATGAGTTCAATAATCAATTGTTTGGGATGTTGACTAATTAATTACACTTGTCCATGCTAGATGCAGTGCTCTCCTAGGAACATACTTTATTTCCAATCACATCAATTTCTGTAGTGCTTTACATGTTTTTTAAAAGTGATGATCCCCTCCTACACGTTGGCAATTACACTTCATGTCTCTGTTACTATCAGTCTGTTAAACAGAATGTCTCCATTTTCCAGAAGGATTTATGGAAGGGGCAGAGTGTGTTATTAATATGGGTGTAGAGTTCTATTTGAATTGGAATGGCAGGGTTGATGCAAGTGGGGTTAAAATATTTAAAATCTGATTTGGCTATGTGCAATTCTTTTGGGGGCTTTTACTTCAGAGAACCTATAGAAAAAAAGTACTTTTTTTCCTCTTGCATATATGGCAGTATGCACATTACTGACTTTGAAATGAATGTTTAGCACCTCTACTCATATGACAACCCTAATAGGCACACATGACTTATCTTCATGGAAAGAGGTATATTGTGGTTAGATTTTGACACATGACCACTGAATTCTGATGTACTAAATTTTGGAATGTCTGATTCTTCTTTTCCCTTTTCAATATAGTGAAATACATATTTTAAAGGAAACTGGAAAGATTTAATCGTATGTAGTCATTTGCACCACCAGTGGATGCATGGAAGCGCAAACAAATTCAGTGTCATCTTTCAAAATAGTCTGTATGGGGAGTATATAGGATGATGTATGGCCAGGCTTCAGGGCCAGCCCTATTAAGAGTGGAGCTTAAGCACAGTATTAGAATGCGGTCCTTGCATGGTATGTGCTGGCAAGAGACCAGTCAGGGGGATAAGTATATCTGAATTAGTGGTAGATGTTCATTCTTCAGCACTTCAGAGCATAAAGAGTGAGAAAGTAAACTTCTTAATCATGTGCTTGTGGAGGTAGCTGAAGCCCGTTTAAAGTGTCCTCAGCCTGTTGTTTTGGCTGTCATTTAACCCTGACTTATAATGGAAAGGGTTATGAAAGCTATACTGTATTCTAACTGAAAACCAGTTTGTGATATGCTTATCACCAACACTTTGTGGGATGTGTTCAAAACTGAGTTGAAATAGCTTGTATCAATGTTATTAAGGATTATCATAATGGAGAATGAAGAACAGAGATCCCTTTTTCTTCCCACTTTATTCTTCGTCATGCTAAAGCAGAATAGAGACATTTCCTTTTGCTAGTACCTGCGCTGTCTATAACTGAACAGTAACACTGCTGGCTTGTTACTGTTTCACCGGATTCACAAATACAGTAATTTACTTTCCCTTTGTTCTTCTTTAAGAGCATGATGTCCGTTAAGTGTGAATCCAGGGATGTAGCCTCACTTGTTCTATAGTTTACCACATCATCTAAGAAGTGGCAATACATGGTACAGGAAATTCCCCTCCTCTGTTTTTAAAAAAATAAATAAATAAATAAACATGTACATATACAACATCAAGTAAGTTCATAATAAATGGTGAAACGTTATTGATGCATATTTTGTATTCTGAAATTTTAATTGGGATTTAGGACCAATTATCACTGGTTATTTTGGATATCCTGAAGCCTTTTTTGCCCTTGTGCATGAGTGTAAGAAATGACGCTAATATCTGAATAATTTGGGTTTATTGTTGAAGCTGCTGTAAAATGCCCTTTCTCTCTTGTTTGCGTCTCTGACAGTCGGTTGATGAGAAGGAAGAGGATGAAGAAGAGCAGCCGCACTCGTTCCTCTCACTCTGAGCAGCCTGGAACAGCTGTGGCAGCAGAGATAACAGATTAGAAGGGAGACCAGTGAGAACAGGAAAAATAAGCAGAGGGGAAAAATAGGTGTCAGCTTGTCATCCAGTCCCAGAAATTAATGGGGGGAAAATATTTATTATTACAGCATAAGAAGAAATTTAAGGCCAAAGATGTCCCTTCTCAATTTAATCCTGTTGACTGGTGAGCTAACATATACTGAGCAGGTAATAAATGTCTGAAGGATTGGCTTGAGACATCCTTTAAAGTTTAGGCCTGAATTAAGGTCCTTACTTCCCACTTGAGAATTTCTATCAGTACAGGCCTCCCTGGGATCTGAAGCGCTGAAGATGGAATCTGTGTGTTGTCTTATGCATTACTGATCAATGATGAGTCATGGCAGTGTGGAAGTATGCAATGTGGGAAATATAAGATGAAACCTTTCTGAGATTTTTTGGGCAAAAGTATGAAAACTCAGTGATTATTTTCAAGTTGCTAATGGGTGTAATAGAGAATATAGATCAAGGAATGCTGGACTGCATATTAATCCATTGGTGACAGTGCCAAGTGATATAACTAGATTTATCAGAAAATACTGTGTTCTGGTAATTTGAGCAGTATTTTGTGAACATACTTGACTTAATGGAGTGTTACCAGCAGGAAACCAAGGAATTAGGATTAGGACTTCACCTATGTCCTGTTTTTACTGGTATTGAAATATATCTTATTGAAGGTTTTCCTTGTTTCTTCGCCCATAAGTATGCCACTTGTTCTGTTTTGGAAACTTGTGCTTCCTCTGATCCTTCTCCAGCCCATACTGAGACATGAGTTTATGTACCCCAAAATGTACCTTTTTACATGTGTGTGTGCAATCTCAGTCGTCTTGAATTCTGTGTGCTTTTCGTTCCCCTCTCCTGGAGGAGTTGTTCTTTTCTTTTTACTCCCTTCCTTCAGGCTTGCCGTTATTTTGAAACTTCTTTTTTAAAATGAGGGATATTGTTATACTAGAATAGTAACTGCAGCCATGAACACTGTCGTTGATCTGTAGTCAGAGATGATGGAAGCTGCTGACATGAAGTCAATTATTATTTTTTTTTGGCCAGCACACTACTTGTGTGTTCTTCTGAACATTTCTATTTCTTGTGTCCTAAAACCAGTAGGTAGAACCCCACAGGATATTTCAGGTGCTTAAGGAAATGAGCCCTTTGGATATGGAGATGACTTACCCACAAAGAAATTACTGTCACGGTTATTAACAGGTGTAACAAGCAATAACAGTGTCTTCACAAATTTTCATAGTAGTTCTGTCTTCGGACTTGCTAGTTTGTGGTGACATTATGGTTTAGGTTTTATGCAGTTTTTCAATAATACAATTTCAGAGAGGTTTTTTTAATATATTAAGAGATGTGATGCTTCCTGGAGCAAGCTGAATGGGTCGTTTCTGGAGATAGGGCACCAAAGTAGAAAAAAAGACCCTGCCTAGTCTGGGAGGGCAGGTCATAGGAATTGATCTCAAGTCAGACTGCTTTCGTGTTCTAGTTCTTATGGTTTTGATAACTGAGCTGATATATCCTGCTGTTACTTTTGAAGGTGGCAATGTGAAAGACTAGTTGGAACCTTCTAAATACCATGTAATAGTTGTCTTGAAACACTTCTCTCCCCGCCCCCCGCCCCGACACTGCTGGACAATGTAGCAATTTGGATATCCCTGATCTGTAGAAAATAAAATTTGCCTTGCTAAGAACTTGAAATGAGACACAGGTGTATTGCCTCCATTTTTGCACCAGGAGGTGCTGGTTCTTTTTGAATCCCATAAGAAATGCACAAACTTTTAGCAAGAAAGATGACTATTTTACTGATGTGTTAGAAAAGATGATAGGGAGCCACAACTTAAGTCCCTTCTGATTCTGATGCTGGGAACCCCGAGTTGATGCAGCATTGGACGGACCTCCATTCAGGCCACAGTGTACTGCAGAGATCCTGTCCATGGTGAGGTTCCCAGCATCCTCTCCCCTCAAATCCGATCAAATAATTTGTGGAAAAGATTGTCTAATCCAAGACTCTAATAAATGATAGAACCTCAGAATGAATAGATACCTATTTATGCAAATAAATATTTCTTTGGAGTTGACAGCTTTTCTTTTTTTTAACTAGATATAAAGGAGAGGTTCACCAATTACGTGCTGCTACTAATTGTATGTCTAAGGAATATGGAACAGTTCTCATGGAATCCAGGTGAGTAAACTAGTAGAAAAATTATACACAAAATGACAAATTCCTGTGCTATCAGCAGCTGTATCTCTTGCTTCTTTTCTCTGAAAGATAAGGGTAACCAGGACATTTCATTGAGGAATCTTAATTGAGGAATTTAAATGAGGAATCTTAATTTATCAAATGCCTTGGATTCTCATTTTTCTATTTCTGACTTTCTTGTAAGAGTGACTCTATCCTTTCTGCTTGAAGTATATGCTGTTATGCTACAAATGTACAAAGTTATGTTTCCAAGATTATCTTGAATGATTTCTTCCCAGTCCTTCACTTTCCTTGGAGTACCTTGAGGATGAAGGATCCCTTAGAGAATTTTATTTTGTGAGGCTAGTAAGGTTGAAATTTAATGGAAGATTATGTAAAAAAACTCCATTCATAATTTAATACTGATTATACTTAGGATTTCAATACCATACTGAATAAATATTGAGTAAAAATTGAATTGTATTTTATTAAAACTTTAATAATTTTGAGCCCTGATCTGTGTGGTGTGTTTTGCTTAACTGTTACCAGGCTACCTAAGTTTTACCTTAAGCATCTAAAAGAGCAGGTGCTCTGTCTATTCCTCACACGTACTGGACATCTACTATCTAGTATGTGCAAAGGTCGTCTTCCTAGTAGAGTTAAAGCTTTACAAAGTAAATGCTTTAGAACCTGATCTAATTGTGGTGTGACTGTATAATACTGGTAAGTTTCTGGAACAGCAATGGAATAAGCAAGAACTTGAACACTACATGCTGAGTGGTGATGTAAAGTTACAGATTCTTCAAGCTCTTGAGGATTTTTACACTGTTGAGCAGAAGTGTTATAATCTTTGTTTTGTATGCTGGCATCAAATTAAATGGCCTAACTTGTTTCTTTCCAACCTTCAGATCATCTTTGGGTGTTATTCCCAGATGTTTGCATGGTGGTTGCTTCAGAAATTGCAGTGGATATTGTGAAACATGCCTTTATAACGAAATTCAATGACATCACAGCAGATGTATGTATCCTGTTTGGAATGCTGAGTGCTATTTTAAGTTGTAGTTTATTTTGCTAATATTTTTTTATATTAAAATTTATTCTAGTGCATAAAATGTATAAATTGTTATTTTCATATATAGGATATCACTTGAGAAAGCTTGGTAATTTCCTGATACAATATACTCCTGAGAATCTTTATAGTGTGGAACAAACACCTCTGCTTCTAAATTAGTAGTTCCAGATCCATAAATTATGAGGACTGTTATACAACACTTTCAATAACTACAATAACTGGCAGATCATTTTGTGAAGTGATCACTAGTTAAATTGACAGAAGGTTATTTGTTTTACAGTCTAGACAGAGCTTGTACCTTTTCCTAACAGAATGGATTGTAGGTTAAAATTCAGGCTTTAGGAAAAACAGATCTTGTGAGGCTGCTGAATCTCTATTCTTGCATGTGTGTTAAAGGTGGAATCTGAAGTCAGAGATATATTTTTTCCACTGTCCCTGGAGCACTAATACTAAGTAGGTTATGTTAGTTTCCCACTCCTGAGATTTCTTAGGCCATATATATTATGCAGTCCTTCTTTTAAAGTAGTAGATGAGGTTATTTTTTGTGTATTGTGGCATGATACATTCGTCGTTTGTCTTGCACGTTGTGTGAATTCAAATGCACTTGATAAATTTGTGAAGAGGTGAGTTAGCATTTTTTCACTATTAAAACCACTTTTCAGGAAATGAGATCAGAACTTGGAAGTGTTATTTTTTTCAGCATCTCTAAAGTAACTACATTGTGCAGTGTAGAAACAAGTTTAATAGATGTACTTAATAAGCTCCCTTATGCTAGAGGCATTTATGCATGCCCTACTTTCATGTAGAGAGTGTGGAAAAGAGCAATAATGAAGTCATGATAGCCAAAAATGTAGCATGCTTCAGTGTGCTGAAACAACTGGAGGATGGGGGTCATGAGTGACAATGTTGTAAGGTTTATTTAACAAACTTTATATTTTTTTGTATGAAGTTCTAAAGATTTGTGGTTGCTAGGTCAGACTTTTTTGGAAGTTTTGAACACCTGCAGTGCAAGTTGACCTGCCGCTTACCCTTAAAATAGATGTTTTTCTGTCTTAATATGCAGAACTGTTTTAAAGATAAAGAAAAACCGCATTCATCTTCTGATACAATTTGCTTTTTTCATGGGATTGCTTCCTTAGTATATAAGTAAGCTCTCTCCTATGTTTAATTTGATCCCAGTGCTACCTTTCACATAGCTTAAAACAAATTAAGAACTGTAGGAAAAAAGTAAGCATGATTTCTCTTACTTTGTGTTTCTGATGATCCTCAAATTCAGTAAATGCTTTATAAAGTCTCATTCAGCTCTTAAAATATAGCAGTGTTGTTTGTTGTATATACATGCAAGTTACTTTATCGCAGAAATATAGGCTCATCTGTTGAAGGGTGCAATTAGACCTCAGAAAAACTGACTTTGAATCCTTCAGCCTGTGCATAAGTGTTTATAATATTTTTACAGGAGTACTTTGTTGATATATCTGTTGTTTTTATAAAGTGTGATAACAAATTAATCACATATCCGATGTGCTGGATTTTTTCCAGGTCTACAGTGAGTACAGAGCCAGTCTTGCATTTGACCTTGTTAGCAGTCGACAGAAAAATGTAAGCCTGAAAATAAAGCCATTTTCTTGTATTAACTAACATAATTGTTATGGGAGGAATATTGGAACAAATACTTAAAGAAATGCATACAGAACTTTAACATTCCTACAGCACTGAAATTCTACTCTGCTTTTTGTAATAAGAGATAACAGTGGTATTTCCTTGTGGCTTATATTCTTATTTTTATCCAGTTGTTCAGGTCAGTTTGGGCTTTATTTAATATATTGTTGAGAAGTCTCTTTGAAATACACTTATAGTCAGGGGATGGTTGTAACTTGAGATATATGGGAAGTCAGTAAGCTTAACAAGAGGTTCTTGAGATAATTTTAAATTACTGTTCTTTTTGCTTTATTTTAACTGTATTGGATCAAAATACAGTATTCATTAGGAATTTATTATTTCTTCACAGTGTACACAGATGTATAGCGATGTTTGTACCATGCATGTTACTGTTGTGGCGTGGGTATTTACAGAACACACAGACTGCTTGTGGTTTTTATGACTACTTTTTTTTTTAAGACTATTTACAGCACATCTTTCCTGGATGAGTCTCTTAACTATTAGTGAGTGCTTTGGATGAGTGCTCTAACTATTAAATGAACTTTATTATAATAATTTATGTAGTTTTCTTGGGTATGTTTAATAGCTATTGCTAGGAATGCAGTAGTTATACCTCATAAAGAAGTTAAACATCTTCAATTGCAAATAATTCATTATTAATAATTTGTTAATTAAAAAAATGGTTTATTAGTTCTGAAAACTCCATTACTGTTCCTAAGGATACTATGTGGAAAATGAGGTAGGGAAATATGGGCACTAACTTTGGCGTGACGTTTGATACTGCATGAAAGCTCTCATGCAAAGTAGTTGTGTCTTGAGAGTTCAAATGTAAACGTATTTTCAAAATTATTGTAACACTATTATCCTGAGGCTAATTATAAATGTTTGTAGAATGGTTTAAAATTGGTAGTGTGATGGATAATTGTTTTTTTATCCCTATTATGGGTTTTTCTATACAGTATTTGAGGATCAAAGTCAAATTAATGCAAAAAGGTCTCTAAGCTAGTAATAATGTACAGATGAGATATCATAGCGCATTTGGATTCAGTGTCCTAATTGCTCTCGATTTAGAGATTTGTATTATACTCCAGTTGCTCTTGATTTAGAGCACTGAAGCTAATCTTACTGGTCATGGTAGTATTACATTTTTGTCTGAGAGTACAGTTATCTGCATTTGAATTTCAAAATGTAAATAGGTACGCTTTATACCAGTACAGTGTTTCTTAGCAGAGATTGATTCTTATCTAGAGGGTGTGCCAAGCTAAAATAAGCTCATTCCTTTGCCTAAATAGTTCATTGTTCTTCCTCTTTCTTTTTTTTTTTTTTTTCTTTCCTAGGCATATACAGATTATAGTGATTCGGTTTCTAGAAGAATGGGTTTCATTCCTCTTCCATTGGCTGTTTTAGTAAGTCGTATCTTTCCCATCAGTTTTCTGTAAATAAGATCTCACTTTGAGACTATAGGCATGTGAGATAGCTGGCTCTTTTTGATGTTTTGAGGATGAAATGATCACCATAAGTAACAGAAATGATACTGCAAGGTTGAGTTATCATTCAATATAACCTATATCACATACTAATTATGACTTCATGAATGTGTTACCGTTTATCAGCTTTTCATAAAAAATTGAATATATATTCATTTTATAGAATTTATAAGCACTTGAATTGTAGCAGTGGAATTAAGCTACATCTGTGCTTATTAAACATACATTCCTTTTGGCAATTACCCTGTTCATTCATTTGGAGTAGTCAAAGCAGCTGGTTGCCAGAAGGTTAGCAGTCGTGTACTAGTTTTTTAAGGTTTTTTCATAGGAGTCCTTGTGGTTGTCCATGTAGTGCTATGCTTAATGACTAAATTTTATTTTGTATGGGGCACCGAGCTTCTGAGCTGTTGTAGAATACCTGATTATGAAATAGTTGACCTTGATACATGGACATGCTGCTATAAAATTAATCACTTCACTATTGGAATTGTGTCCACATGTTGTATGTTCTGAATTAAATATTGCAGAATGTTTTCTGCAGATAGCTGCTCTAACTTTGCCCACACACACATATAGGCAAGCAGTGGTTATCGTAATACTGGGAATGTGTCCTTGCTTTGCGAGCAAAGATGCTAACTCATAATTTTCCTGGAAGAATATAAAATATTAATTAACTTTTAAATGTAATACTCTCTGATAAGAGATGGCAAAAAGTACTATTGACAGGCTTTGCCTAGTTTTTATCAAGGATTTAAAACAAACAAAAGCCCACAAAACAACTATGATCATAATCATTACTTCTTTTATCATCTCACATCCAGTGAGAATTTGATTGAAAGGCTTTTTTGAAGTTAATTGTTTCTGATATGATATCCTGATACTATATTCTGATATGAACTAGTAGGTTTAAAACAAATTTAAGTGCTTTGCTAACTTGTAACTCTCTAACTGAAATACTGAAGTAAAACTGAGATTTCAGGATTGTTTGTTACTGAAACTTGGGATTCATATGCCCAGTCCACAAAGGAATTTTACATTCAAAATGTTAGCATAGTGCGAAATGCTGATTCTGTTTTACTGCATCAGCATCTGTTGACATTTTCCTCAAAAACTGTTGACTCAGCTTCCAGCCCTGACTTTTGGGGAGGTTTTTTCTGCTGGTTATTTTACTGGGAAGTCAGAGGTGAAAGAAACATTATCAGACTGTAGTTTAGCAAGGTTGCAACTAGGTGCTAGTATAATACTTATTCAAACCAAAATCTTGAATAGTTAGCACTACCAAGGGGAACATTAGAATAAATTTCTATTAATGTAAATGTTTCTACTTTTGTCTTGAATTCACGATTTAGACATTGTATACTGTATTAAAATACTCTTTTAATAGTTGTGTGCTGTATGTTTTAACTATTTAACTTTTATCCTTAAAACAGCTCATCAGAGTTGTAACAAGCTCCATAAAAGTACAAGGAGTCTTAGCTTATGTTTGTGTTGTGCTGTTCTACTGTGGGTAAGTAAATGGACGCAATTGAAAAGTGTTTCCCATTATTTGGTCAGATACGTGAAAAAAGCTTCTGGTGATACTTCTAGGTATAAGTGCAAACACGGTTTATGATCAGTAGAGCATAAATGTAAAACTCTTATGCTCATAAACTGAAATTGAGAGTGCAGATTGGTCCCTAAGTACTGCAACTGCATTGGGGGATTATAGCCCTCAAGAAGTAACTTCAGTAATGAAAATAACTAATGGAAAAATGATTGAAAGAATTTGACAGACAGGCACTATACTTGTGCATAGAAGGGGAAATTGAATTCTAAGGAATGAAACTTTCTGTGAAAAGAATGAAAGATTCAATATGCCAACAAAAATAAGCAGTTTAAGTGCTCTGAGCAGATCATGAATTCTTCTTTCTAGTAGTTAAATGCAAGGTTTCTTCATGTTAGGAAACTACTATATGAAAAAAAAAGAGAAATGCAACACTCACCTTTCTGGAAGAGTGAGTGTCAGTAAGTAATCTTAGTTAAAGAATATAATGTCCTATGGCAATTTGTTTTCTAAAACCAATCATTTGCAATTATCCCTTCATTACTAGATCAGTTTATACTTGTGTTATCCTTAACTTCTCACCAGTTGATGCGTACTTCTGAGATGCGTTTAGTTGTACTTTAAATCCAAGCTAGTTTGCCTGTCTTCAGGCACTTGCTGTAGACTATATGGGGATGACCAGTCTCTAAGAAAGCTGTGTACTGAACTGTGTCAGCATTTGTTGTCTCCGAGTACTGCTTGATGTTGGAGTCCTCGTAAAATTGATCATAAAGGATTAAGCGACTCAAATTGCTGCAGCACAGAGAACCTGCATACAGTATTGTGGGAGTATGTCTTCCAATGCCCTACCAAGTTGTGTTTGTAACTGAAGGCAGCAAGACTTGGGAAGCAAAAGACTTCTAGGTCTGGAGCAGTGGTTCAGCAGGTACACTGGAAGAGAGGAGGCTGCCATTTTATAATACCTTATGAAAAGAATGGGATTACTACACTTTTTTTTTATGAATAGGTAGACTCTTATCTCTAATCTGATTGTGATCTGCAAAAAAAAGTAGAACTTGGTCTAACGTGTCTAGTCCAGATCAGTGTAGAGACATATCTGTTTAGTGTCAGATAACTAGGGCTTTTGAGATATGGCATATAGGCCAAATATTAATATGTAAGCCATATTCCTCTGCACCATACTTTGATTTCTTCCCCGCTGTACCACATGTTGTGCCCATGTTCCCCCTAAAGCTAGCTCTATATAGTTGAAAGCACTAGCCCCTGATCATCACATTCAAGCCCAGCACCTTCATTCCACTCAGTGGTTTTTCCTTTTTCCCAATATACGTAATGT